GATATTAAAGAAGCAACCAGGCCTCTAGCCCGTTTTATACATACCGGTACTTACACGCCCAGTACATTCGTAACCTTTGGTCAAAACAAAAGTCATAACAAGTCAAAAATTATAACTTTCCAACGATTTTGTTCAACAAGTTTACATCATGTTTGTGAAACACCCCTCTAACTACATGTTTATGGTATCCTCTTGCAAGTAGTACTACAAATCTCCTTATGGAGATTGGTGCGCGCGTGGTGCAATGTGGCGCAGAAGGCAGCTCAGTGCTGGTGTACTGTGAATTTAGGACTCTATGAAAATAATACGGCCTCATTGGTAGTATTGCGCAAGTGAAGATAATTAGGAGAGTGACTGGCCATGTGCGAGGGTGCAAACCATTCAACCAATAAAGGGGCAAAATGGACCAGATTTCCTAGGAGTCCAAATTCATGTGACACTGGGATAAAAAGTAGAATGAGCTTTGTTTTGAAATAACCACACAACGGACCAACATTTGCATTGTGCTCCAGCGGTTACAGTTTTACATGGAACAATCCAGGCATTGTGCCAGCCAGATGACCCTTTGACTCTGGTGTTCTTTATTGCAAATTACTTCCTGTAAGTGTAAGAAAAATATTAGTGGCAGACATCTGTAAGCCAGTGTGGAGGATGCCTGAATGCAAACAACATTTGTGGTGTGGTACCTTTTTTATGTACAAAAACGTCAATAATGGCACTTGTCTGGTGTTTGCTTGGTTCAAAAGCAGGTCATTTTAAAATTAAATAAATTATTAAAATGGAGGTACATTGTACAATGACAAATGTGTATCAAAAGAAAATAATGAAAATTCATTTGATTTTGGAAGATTGCAGAGTATTTTTATCCTAAGCTGTCAAAGGTCATGTACACATGTATTGTACACATGTACATGTACATGTACATGTAACCAACACATTACAGCGAGTACCAAGTACCGGTATATACAAACTATGCACATTTAATAATAAAAAATGTGTTGGCCTTTGATAACAGTCCTTATTTCTTTCAAGTACGTGTACATAATATGTATGACATGCGTTTGTTTACAAAAATGTGTAAATCGAGGACACACACACGTGTAACATCATCGAATCGAGGACAGGAACAAATCGAGGACTCCTCTGTTAGAAAACGTGTACAAAACCAATGAGAGCTGTTGCAAAAAAGTTAATACATGTAGTACTTATTTACAAGGAAAAAGGATGAGGAACAATAGAAATCCTCGATGTACACCATAAACAAGCGTGTCTGTACTTGTATAGTGTACATTGTACATGCGTTGGATTGAGTGGGTTAACAAAAACAACATTTTTTAACAAGGACACATAGAGGTCTGTGCGCATTTGTCTGGTCAGTGATTCACTGCTGAGTTCATAGAAAGTGTAGGTATGCCTGAATGTGAGGTTTCTTAATTCCAGTAAAAATGTAAGATTTACAAAGTGTAACCTTGTGATTCTAAAACCACAGTCCTCCCATACATGTTCGTATGCAGGGGTGACATTTGTCAGGATGTTTCCTACAATGTACATTGAATTTCAGGATCTTTAAAAATCCTTTAAACCCTGGAATTCGCGATAGTTTACCATAAAGGTCTTTCAGCCCTGTCGCCAGGCCCCCTCCCCCTCGGCGACGGGCCTGAGGTCCATTTACTTATAAAGGTTTATAAAAACAATAACCAAAAAGATATGGGCATTTTTAAGGGGTGCAATGAATCATACAAACCATGGAGGTAATTCTAACCTCCATGTACAAACATACTGTACCATAGATGTTGCTCTTGGGCCCTATTACTCTTGGGGCCACTCAGTGACCCTCAGAACCCTCTGCCGATTATTTTGTGGATTCTTCTTTCCCACCCCCCCCCCCCCCCCCCCAATTGTGCCCCTCTCTCCCAATCGCACCCCTCCCCCCCCCCAATTGCACCCCTCCCTGATATGGAACCTACATGTACATCATGTAGACTGCTTAGTATCACCCACTGTTACTAGCTTTACTGTCTGAGAAGACAGACCATGGGCCTCATCTGTGAGAACAGTGTCCACTGGTAAAATTGGCTTGAGTCTGTACTTCATCTCCTGCTCCCAAAATATTCTAGCACATTCTTTTAAGAGTGCCAACTCTTGACTTTTTTATGGGTCTTTCATGTTGTTTGTTTGGCCTGGATCAACCTTTAAGAGGAGAAATACAGACTCAAATCAACTTTTTTATTAAAGTGCATGTATTTTTGGAGTTATTACAGAACGTACATGTATGAAGAGGACAAGTGTTGGCCTACACATTTGTTTTATGAAACCCTTCTTTTTATGTGATTTTTGATGGTGAGAATACATTTTTTTTCCTTTGATGCTGATGTCAGTTCTTGTTCATGTAATGTGTGATATAGCCAATCTGATCTGTAAACTTGATTCAAAATGAGCTGCAGTGAGTTACCGGTACTTTACAATGTGTACATGTATAATCATTTGAACAAAAGTGCGTTCTCCATGAACTCAAGTTATGGGTTTATTAAAGGTCCAGGAAGTGAATTTTTCTGAGGAACACGTCTTGTCCAACTTTCTTCTCCTCTGAAATGTATGAAAGATATTTGACTCCCCTTTTTGGTTTTAAAACTTTATTAAAAAATGCACTTCTGTAGCATTTAAAAATGACTTTGCTGAGGGCGCTGTTGGTGTTATGTCATTTCAAGAGGCCACTGTTCAGTTTGGTTTTCTGTTCAAATTCTGAATCCAAAATTTGCTCATTCAAAAAATTTGTGAGAAAGGGTTGCTTATTGGCTTGCTGCCGAGTACTAGTCTATAGTAATATTCGCCATGGGTCTATGATATGTGAGCAGATTTGCTGATTATTTAGGCAAGACCCCGTCTCTTGACCTCCTAGATTTTGACCAGTCAGAGGGCGCTTTCTATATCGGGTCTTTGGTCATTCACCCGTTGTGCGTCATAGACAATGGATTACAAAAAAAACCTGCGTCACGCGCTCTGTATCATGTTACGCGATAATGCGCCCGGCTGTTGTTGCATTACAAAACACTGCATTCGAATTGACCAATCAAACCATTTAGTCCTGATTTAGGAATGAAATGACGTCACGATTTAGTAAAGTCGACTCCGATTGGCTGGTGCACGGCTTGCTTATGTCTAGACATATCAGACGTTATACAGGAGTCTTGCTCCGTGGATAACGGGTGATACTCAGACTAGCCATGTACTTGCACAACAACGAATCACCTAAGAAAAGAAAATGTTGCAACAGCAAACTACCGGTATCCAGAATCCTGGCAACTTATTGTGTTGAAATAGCTGTAACATTGAGGTTTCTGCTTGGAATTACATCACAGGTTTGCTTATGAATGTGGAAATTTTTCGATAGCATAAAAACTAAAAAGGCGCCAAAATACCCTTCAAAATGGCAAAACGAAAATTGCAAATATGGTTAAATGGGACACAAGGATAGCATTTAAAAAATTACTTTGCATGGGCCCTTTAACCTTGGAAGTCCTTTGAAAGAGGGAAAGTGGTAAAAACAACAAGCGAAAGCGTTCAAATATTTGTACAATTGTGCGTATCAACAAACAATGCTTTATTCATCAGTCGGAGCATCTGGCAGTCTGTTTCACAAAGCGGCGGCGGCGGCACGCTTTGTGGAAATTTGCCGTCAATTAAGCGCTGGGCGATGACAAAGGAGACAGTTGGGCCTCTTCTGCCGCGCATTGGTGTCGATAATCTTAACTACATGATCACTGCAGTCATGCAGAAAGAAACCCTGAATGTTTTACGGCACTCGTCAGATCAAAAGAACTGGAAGGTTGTACTACTGCTGGACTGTGCTTGCCAAAAAAGAGAGAAAAAAAAGAATGGCATTCGGGCTTTGTCTGCATGCTTTGGGAACCAGTTGTTCCGTTGGGTAAACAACATCATTTTGTAGGGGTGAAAGTGTTAACAGGGATCCCAGTGAACAGTTGCAATTTTTTCCCTCTTGTTTGCTGGGAGAACTGTTTTTTTTTTATTTCCTCTTGCATTCTTTTCCTCTTTATGGGGCTATGTACAATAAATGCTGGCCATTAAGCCACAAGGAGTGCAGAATTTGTGGCCAGGTGGTTAATACTCATTCAATTTCAAAAGGTTTGAGTGATGGGTTTGAAGTCTGTTTGATAAAATGTGTTCAAACGTTTAAACCAAACATTATCAAATTCAGCTTATATTACTTATTCCAAACTTTTAAGTGGGGGACCAACAGTTATAAAAAAGGGGCCCTTTATTTTCCTTGAAAATGAGGAGGATTTTGGAGGAATGGGGATGAATGCATTTTTTGAGGCAGGACTGTCTGACGATTTTGAAGGATTGAGACGCTGGGTATCCTTCATTTGAACATAAGTGCGAAATTTTTGAGGATTTTGGAGAATTGAGGATGGCTCCTAGCAAAAAGGGCCTAGGGAGTTAGGGCTGCAGCGGTTTTTCAGGCTGTACACATTCATAATTATTCATAAATACCTGAGACAGTTTACCAATTCCTATTGTTGGTTTTAAACTGCCGGTAAAATACCTCTACGTTCTGTGCCACACTACGCAGTACATGTATGTGCCGCGCACGCGCCAATTTCCATATAAGGAGATTTTTAGCACTACATGTACATGCGTGCGAGGCACATGCCAGTACCATTACCATGGCCAGATGGGTGTTTCACAAAACATAAAATTGTTGAACAAAATCGTTGGAAATTTGTGAATTTTTTATGAATGAGAATAAATGTGCTTGGCCAGTATGAAAACAGGTACGTTTAAAACTGGCTAAGGGCTTGGGCCATTATCCCCGCCCAGGCTCCTAGCTGGTTTTAAAACGTACTTTCCTGTGTGTTTAAAACCAACCAAGAACGTCCTTAGTAACAGTGTGTTTTTGGTACCAGGAGTAATGGGTTTCAGTGAGTATTATATTTGTACTATTTTATCCCTAACTGTCTATTCCTTTTATTTTTCTGCAGTGACAACAAAACCAGCACATGCATTTGAGTTTGTGGACCAGCCTCGGAGCAGGGATTCGTTGGAAGGGAGGAACACAATCCTTCAGTGCAGCGTCGACGACGACACAAACGTTGAATTCAAATGGACGCTAGAAGGCGAAGATATACAAGATGATGACCGCCGGTCTGTGACTGACGGGGACTTGACCATTACAAGAGTGGACAGAGTGTTGGACTTAGGGGAGTTTCGTTGCGTGGCCACCAATACGGTGACCTCGGAAAGTAAAACCAGTGATCCCGCTGAGCTAAATATAATATGTGAGTATAACAGTAACTTATTTTTGAAGGGGTGGGTGGGAATAACATGGAAACTTATGCACAGAAATTGCTTGGACAAGTTGAAATTCATGTACACGTAGCTCATTCAAATTTGAACTCTCACACACAATTAAGCCAAGTAAAAAAAAACAACCAGTTGATCGTCCCTGCCCGCTTCCTTTTTTGAAGCTGCATCCTTTTTTATTTTTTGTTTATTTTTTTTCTCACCTCAAAAAGCTAACTTTTTCTTGTATTTCGCTTTAATAATGAAATACATAGAATATGTTTAACACGAATATTTTGACTACTTAGTATTAAGATAACTAATTAAATTGGCGGCCATTTTTAATTTAAATACTTGGCGTCCATCTTGGGAAAATATATAAAATAATAAGGCCATCGATCCTCCACTTTTTGAAAAAACCCAAACGATCAACTGGTTTTTCTTTTTACTTGGCCTTATGGTAAACTGTCAGAAAATGCTCAGTGTTCGAAAGTACATTTCACCCTCTGGGAGTGATTGTTTGTTTTATTTCAAGGATTTAGGTTGGTGGAGGTTTGCTTCCCCCAATAATTCTTCAAAATTCTTCAAACCCAAAAATGTTTTTTTCCTTTGAGAGACCTGTCTGTTACTCATAATTCATCGAAATATTCACAACTTTTGTGTTGTAGTTGCTTGGACAGCCATACAATTCGGTTTTACTCTGTCAAGGAAAAGACCCCAAAAATTTTTCAGGCTTGAATCAGTAATTAAAATTACAATGTAACAGTGTACATGTATGACACATTACATGTTCATTTGAGGATCCAAACATGAATTGTGTACATGCACCGGTATATATATGTTATTGGTGTACTGTACATCATTTATTGATATTTCGTTTTAAAGAAAATATGGGGTACAGTTTTATACATGTACATTAACAGCAGTTACAGCACTATATTTAGTCTTAGTTCCCATAGAGCATCATAAATGTTAACAGGCATGCAACTTTTCCTGGAATCCGTTTTTACTTCTCATGAATGCAATTCTAAATTGGAATTTCCTAGTTTTTTCCCCCTGAATTCCCAGTTGTGTGCCTGATGATAAGGAATCCTGCTGGAAACTTAACACATTGAGCATTTCTCTTCTGAAAATCTACACACAAATTCCTAATTTAAAAAAAAAAGAAAAAAAAAATTGCCTTACTGTACATGTATGTAAGTTACTCTTGGAATGATTAGAAATTCTACTGCAGATTTTTTTCTGTTCCCGCCAAGCACACATTTTTGGGTAGCAGAAACCGTATCGCACAGACAAACACAGACTGCAGAGCCTGGAGCATTGTATGCCAGTTGTGGCCAGTATCTCGGGAGGGAAGGAGTAAAATCACAATTCTGTGTGTCTGTGCCGTTACCTGTATCGCCTTAGCCTTGGAGGGCTGTTTATTATTTCTCCATTTTCATTATGAGGCCCGGGCTGAAGCTGAATTCCTGTGGAATTTCCCACTACAGAAAAGTAAAAGAAGGGCCAGGGGCGGATTTTTTTTGCCTGGACGTGACTGGAGTATGGTTAGACGATGGTGACACCCTCCTCCCATGTGCGTGTGTGTAGATATGCGTGTCATTACAATGTATGTCCAGAGTGCAGTGTGTTATTGTACTGAGCATAAATAAACACAGTCATCTGTCTCCTGGCCAGCTGTGGTTATTGGTCCAGACATTATGTTTCCCTGGCCAAATAAGGAAAGTAAAATTATGTCATAAGGATTCTGAAGTAGGTTGAGTACATGTACTATGTACGGGCTTGTGTAAAACTAAAAGTTTCCAGTGAATGAGGGAAAGTATTTTTCTTGTACTTGAATTGTATTGGCACATGTACAAATTAATATTTGTTTAAGTGCAATTTGGTTTTGGATTTTTGTGTCTTTTTTGATAACTTTAAAAAAAAAAAATTGTAGATTTTTTCAATAATATTAATAAAAAACACAAAGAAAAGAAAAGATTGCAATTCATACTTTGGAGACCAAAACTTTCCATTCATAAAAAAAACAGTGTACGGTACCTTTGTTGTACATTTACAATTCACATGCTTGACAAATGTGGACAAAACTTAAAACAGGTTAGTTTCACAATATTTGCTTTAAAATTCTTACCCCCAAATTCAGCCATTTTTGAAAAATACAGCAAAAGCAAATGTTGTATAGTATATAAATTACCTTTAATTAAGGTTATCTCAGAAAAATCCCAATGTCTGTGAAACGTTTCACTGTGTTAAATGTAAGTGTAAACGAGACACTGTGGAACAGTGGGTGCTCTTGTCACTTGTCAGAATTTATTTTTTGTTCACACAGTGGAGTACATACTGTACATGATACATTTTCAGTTGTATCAGTATGCCCCTATCTGCTGAGCTGGGGAGTTTCCAAAACTTTATAAGACTTCATCTTAAGCTCCTGCTTCAGTTTGAACATAAAGGTTTCTGGTGCAAGATACATACATTTATGAAGCCAAACCTATAGGCCTACTAGTGATGAATCCGTAACTTGGAAAAGTCCCCCTGTTCATGCTGTGTACCATTTGGTGATCCCATAGAGCTAGTTGATGTGGCTTCTGGTCTTCAGACCTGTCCAAGGTGACACCATGGTGACACACAGACATAATATACTGGATGAGACCTCCAACAAGGGGACAGGGTTAGATATGAAGCACCAGGTATTGTGCAGTGCACAATGGATCTGTCTGGCAGATTAGTTCTGCCCCCTTGCATTTACTGCCCAGGCTGTGAGGAGAAACCCATGGATGATCTCACAGGGTATAGTTTCCTTCTCACAAGGGGATCAATCGCTTCTTAAATGTGGGGGGGGGGGGGGGGGGGGGGGGGGGGGGACATACATGTACATTGCACCTTGATCAGACATGAAATAAATTTTAAATGTACATGTATGCATATCATGTACTGTCTATTGTCCGTTAAAATTTAACAAAACCAGCTTTGAGGTTTTTGTGGATACAGTTTTGGAAATCCCCAGTAAAATCTTAAGCTTAAAATTTAAATACTATTAAAGCTGTAGGCCTAAGGCCAAAAAAAAAAAGGCTCCGGTTTCTGGTATGCGCGCGTGTCGCCGTAGCCATGCGCGTTGGCAAAATGAAATAGTTTTTTTTTCAATAAAAGATGATGTCTCAAAACCGCCAAACTCACTGGTTTGACTGGAATCCTGCTGCTGCACAATTTTAACGTGTTTTTAGATTGGGTTATGGTCGAGAATAAGCTTTATGAGGCCTCTCTGGACTCGCATATATTTGCACTAAGTTTAGTCGGGCACTATTTGCAGTCATCAGCCGACATTTGAAGCAAAAAAAATCAGGTAAAAAAAAAAAAGCCGCGTCGCCGCACCACTTTTTGGGCAAGCTCCATACCAGAAACCGGAGACTTTTTTTTTTTGGCCTAAGATGGACTCTCAACTGCACTTGCTTTTTTTGGTTTTTCTTCACTGACAGCACAGCCTTGCTGAAAGTCAAAACCCATATTGAGAACTGTCGCTGCCAAATTGATATCTTGCGGGTGGGGATTTGCAAGCTCGCATGACTTCATTCCCAAGAAAAGGCTCCAGCCTCGCATGCTGATTGAAGGTTAAAGGCATGCTCTGCTGAAATTTGTAAATTTTCAGCTTTTACTGTATTTTAAGCCTGCTGTCATTTTTTTATGTACATGTACATGTAGGCTATAAGACCACAAGTTTCTATTCTGAAAAAAAAGCACAACGTTTGATGGCCAGCATGATAATGCAACTGCGACTGCTATTGTTCTCAATAAGGGCAAATTATAACCGATTAGCAACTGTACTAAATCACGTCCTAAAATACCTGCAACACTTTTTGTGAGGCTTTAGCATCGCCTCGGAAACACGTACCGCCACTATTTTTTTCTATCATTTTGAAGCTTGAAACCTTAACTTTAATCCCTGGTAATACAAAATGGTTTTGAAATGATTTGTGTTCAAATAAAGGCACGTCAAAAACAAACTCATCCCATTTCGACACATTTTTTTTTCTAATGTGGAAATGGTTCATCATGTTCATGATGTGACGATCTCGTTGCCTTTTAGTTTCTGTGTTTCCTGTTCTTTTTGATCCACGTAGACGTCACCTTAAATGAATTCATAATGTTGTTCTTCGTTTCAAGTTCACTTTTGAAATTTACGTGCAAGTACATACATACATGTGTACATAAACTACGGTATTCAAAAAGGGCACTCAAAGTGTGACTCGAGTTTGCATCTGATGTACCACATCACCGAATTTCCTTGAAATTGGTTGAGTTTGTTTTCGACATGCCTACATGTATATTTGAACATGAATAATTGTAAAACTCTTTTAAATATCAAACCAATTTACTCCTCAGGGATAAAGTTCAGATTCCAAGCTTTAAAATGGTATAAAAATAATGGCAGTTCGTGTTTCCGCACTGATGCTGGAGCCTCGCAAAGAAAAGTTGCGGGTATTTTGGGACGCGCTGTACTTTGTTTTACATACAAGTACATGTACACATGTATGTATGCATACATTTGTTTATAAATTTCTCTGATGAATCAATGTTAAAACAATCTAGTGCTTGGACAGTACATGGCAGCGTGGTTTGGGGCCAAGGGTACAGTGACTATGGGTTAATGTTATGTGAGCATTCAAAGTTTTTCTGGGAAAGCTGTGATTATTGTGACCAGTCAGTAATACCGGTATTTTCAGAGCTTTCAATTTTTGGGGGGAAAGTTCTGATGATTGTGACCAGTCAACAATATATTGAGAGAAAATGAGAGCATTAAAATTTTCTCTGGGAAAGATCTGATGATTGGGACCTCAAAAAGGTAATTTACACTCGGCCTGTTTTTGGTTCGTATTTTCTTTTCATTTGGTAAACACTAACCTTTACAGATGTACATGTACATGTACTTGAACGTACGGAAAGCATTGGAAGGAAGGCTTACCGGTAGATATACATGTACATATCAAATTTTAATTCC